AGCCAAAGCCAGTGGCACTGATTCCAAAGGGAGCCTGGCCTCTGGCTGCAGGCGGCTGCTGAGGTGAAGGGTGTTGCGGCTGCTCTCTGACGATGATGCCCTGGTTGGCCGGGCGGACATGGGCTTTCTCACACCCGGTCTGGATCTGAGAACCAGACTGCGCCTCATTGAGGCATGAGGGCGGGCGTCACGAAAGGCGGCCTCCTGTGACTGCTTAGCGGCCTGAGCCTTGTGCTGCCTCCGGAAGTGTCCCTATGTGCGGGGCAGACGGTTCCTTCCTGGTGAGAGAGAGCCCCTTGTGTGCCCTGCCGCTGGCCCACCTGCTGGCCCAGACTGCAGCCTCCTTTCTCCCACTGCTCCAGGACAGGAGGGTCTATTGGCACCAGTGGTGAAAATATGATAGGAAAATTGCAGCTGAATGGAGAGGCGCCGTCATGTCCCAGGTGCAGGTGGCAGCTGCGCGTGCCCTGCTGGCTTGCCAGGGCCCATGGAGCTGCAGACTTTCCCGGTTGTCATCTAGGCAGGTGGCTAGGTTTCCTCTGTTTGACCTACAGCTGGGGACCCTCTCCTTGGTAGTGACGTGGGAGCTGCCTGCTCCTCTTTTCCGGCTGCTCTTTGGGTTTCTGGGCCAGTTTGCATTCTCGGCAGAAAGCAGTCAGTGACCTTGAACGAGTCCCTTGGCTGCCCTGAGCCTGTTTCTTCACTCCAGAGGAAGGAGCACAGTAACTCATGGTTGATGTTGAGAGGGTTTCAGGCACTGGTGTGTGGGGAATGCGTGGCCCACTCTGCCAGGCACAGAGACTTGGTCCCAGCATCCTCGTGTGTCCCCTCTGAGCCCAGCTGGTCCCAAGTGCCGATGGCCTTGAGGAGCGAATCGGCCATGTCTGCCCTGGTGGGCTTTTGGTCCGGGTGTTACTTGGATACCCACAGAGCTCTCTCTCCAAAGTGGCCAACGACTAGAAAGGAGGGTGCACAGACCGCCTGGGCCCTGATGGACGCAGAGAGCATCTCTCGCTAGCAGTCGCAGAGAGACGGGAAGAAAGAACAAGGGGGTTAGGAAAAGAGGTGTCAGGGCCCCAGCCCTAAGGTGCCTCTAAGCAAATTAGGAAAAGACACTCCCAGCCCAGGGCAGGTCAGCCCTCACCCTTGAACAATCAGGCTTAGAGTTGGGCTCTCTGCCCCTTGGGGTGCCCTTGAGAGAGAGCCACCTGCTGCTTCACAGCACCCTGGCTGGCGCAGGAGGACACGACGGGGAGGGCCCATGGGGAGGGGGAGGCCGCATGGCTGAGCACAGGAGGGGCTGAGGGAGGGCTCCGGGGCCCAGGTGGACACCAGCAGGACACCAGTATCACTCTCCCCGTCCCTGCTGGCACCCGGGCCTGGGGAACAGGTCTTCCTAGAAGCTGCTGGCTTTTAACTGATGAAGGAGAGTTCCTTTCGGGGTGGGATTTGTTAATGTCCCAGAATAAGGACAGTGGGCGAAAAGAGGCATTAAGTGGAAAGCCGGGAGCTGACACATCTCCAGGGCCTGCCTCCAGAAAAACATGGATGCTCCCTCGCAGCCCAAAGAATGCCTGCCGGTAGGGAGAATGGGAACAAGCAGGCCATGAAGGAGAAAGCCCCACATCCTTCCCAAAAAAGGGACAGAGCAGTAGGGAGAGGGCCACCTCACGGGCATGAGAAGTAGAAGAGGCTCCAGGAGGACAGGCTGCGGCCAAGGAGGCAGCCTCAGAGGCACTGCTCACTCCGTGTCTTCGAGGCCTGCATGCTGCTCCTGGATTGGATCTCTTTGATTCTGGAATAATTCTAGAGAGCATTCCTGCCTTCACACAGACATGTGCGCAGGGCAAGGTTTTTATGGAGGTGGTGGGGGGTGGTGATTTTTAAGTTGGATCCTGCATTTTTGCCAATCAACTTGGCCATCTGTGCCAGACTGGCTGCTGCCAATGTCTGCCCTGCTGAGGTCTGGTGTGAGCATGGCATTGGAAGGGAGCCTGGGCCCTGACTAAGGCACTAGAAGCTGTGTGACCATGGGCAGCTTACTCAGCTTCTCTGTGCATGGGCTTACAGTCAAGTGATGGCATCCTAGGGAGTCAAGGCTAGGGCATTGGGGGTCCCTAGCGTCCAAAGCCAGGTATGAGGCTCCTGCCCTGGCACAGCCTCTGTGCGGCCAAGGACTCGCAGAGACTGTGTGTGTGAACTGCGTCTGAAATGGTCTCCTTCTGCTCTGCAGAGGTTGCTGTGTTTTGGGGAAACATAAGGAACCAACACTGATTCAGGCTTGTAAGTTCTTATCAGCAGTTCGGATCTCTAGAAAGCTTTAGGAGAAAAGAAAAAGAATTTAGCCATGCTTTTGTTTTGTTTTAAATATATTTTTATTGCTTTCAGAGAGGGAAAGGGAGAGACAGATAGAAACATCAATGATGAGAGAGAATCATTGATCGGCTGTCTACTGCACACCCCCCACCAGCTGTGCTTGTTCTACTATCTATCTATACTAATAAAAAGGTAATATGCTAATTAGACCATATAGACCAGACGTCTTCTGGACATCATTCCAGACATCCTTCTTGACAAAGCCATCTGGGGTCCTGGGTGCCATCAGCTGGCCCGGGTGAAGCCGCAGCCTCATAGGGTTCCTGGTGCCTGCGGTCGGCCAGAGGGAAAGAAGCCAGGGTCCCGGGTACAGGGGCCAAGGCAGAGGTAGTTAAGGGCAATCAGGCAGGCAAGCAGAGGAAGTTAGGGGTGATCAGGCAGGCAGGCAGAGGAAGTTAGGGGTGATCAGGCAGGCATTGAGTGGTTAGGGGCGATTGGGCAGATAGGCAGGCAAGCAGTTAAGAACCAGTAGTTCCGGATTGCGAGAGGGTACAGGCCAGGCTGACAGATCCCCCGCCCCCCGTGCACAAATTTCATGCACCGGGCCTCTAGGCCTCCTATATAATAAAGAAATAATGTGCAAATTAACCCTCATGCCCTCACAAGATGGCTGCCTATCACCAGGCCAGCAGGGGGGTTAGTGAGGGATGACCAAATGACTGAACAGTAGGCTGCTTGGGGCGACCAGGCTGTTGGGGGGGGGGGGGGGGCCTTGAGGGGTGACCTGGCTGGCAGGGGGTGGCATTTGAGGGCAAACAAGCCAGCGGGGGGGGGGGGGGCAACCAGGCAGGAAGGGGGGGCAATAAGTGGTGACCAGTAGGGGGGGGACAGTTGGGGGTGACTAGGCTGGCAGGGGGAGCAGTTGGGGGGCAATTATGTTGGCGGGGGGGAGCAATGAGGGTGAGTAGGATGGTGGAGGGCATTTGGGGATGACCAGGCCGGTGGGGGGGGTGGCAGTTAGGAGCAATCAGGCTAGCAGTGAGGGGGCAGTTGGGGGCACCTGGCTGGCAGTGGAGGGGAGTCAGGGGTGATCAGGCTGGCAGGAGGGGCAGTTAGGGGTGAGCAGGCAGGCAGGTGAGCAATTAGGAGCCAGTGGTCCAGGATTGTGAGAGGGATTTCTGACTGCCAGTTTAGGCCCGATCCCAGGGACATTCCCCAAGGTGACCCAGATTGGAGAGGATGCAGGCTGAGCTGAAGGGACTCCCCTCACCCTGAGCATGAATTTTGTTCACTGGGCCTCTATCTTATCTAATAAAGAGGTAAAATGCCAATTGACCATCACTCCAATACACAAGATGGCCACCACCATGTGAACATAAGATAGCCACTACAAGATGATCTTCAGGGGAAGGCAGTTAGGGGTGACCAGACCTGCAGGGGAGGGCAGTTGTGGGCGATCAGGCTGGCAGGGGAGGGCAGTTGGGAGGGACCAGACCAGCAGAGGAGGGTAGTTGGGGGTGACTGTGTCTGCAGGGGATGGCAGTTCAGGGGGGGGGGGATCAGGCCTGCAGGGGGAAGGCAGTTGTGGGGGGGACCAGGCCTGCAGGAGAGGGCAGTTGCGGGGTGGGGGGGCCAGCCCTGCAGAGCAGGGTAGTAGGGGGCAACCAGGCCTGAAGGAGATGGCAGTTGGGGGCAACCAGGCCAGCACAGGAGAGCAGTTAGGGGTGACCAGGACAGCAGAAAAGGACAATTAGGGGTGATCAGGCCGGCAGGGGAGGGCAGTTGGAAAGGACTAGGCCTGTAGGAGTGGGCAGTTGGGGGGAACCAGGCTGGCAGGGAAGGACATTTGGGGATGACTGGGCCAGCAGAGGAGGGCCATTAGGGGTTACTGGGCCAGAAGGGGACGGCAGTTGGGGGTGACCAGGCCTGCAGAGCAGGACAGTTAGAGGTGTCCAGGCCGGCAGGGGAGGGCAGTTAGGGCTGACCAGGTCGGCAGGGAGGGCAGTTAAGGGAAATCCAGCTGACAGGGAAGCAGATAGACATAAATAAGGTTGGCAAGGGAATGGTTAGGGGGTGATCAGGCTGGCAGGCAGAAGCAGTTAGGGGCAATCAGGCAGGCAGGCAGGCAGGTGAGCGGTTGGGAGCCAGCAGTCCTGGATTGTGAAAGGGATGTCCAACTGCATCCCTTACTACATCTTTTTAAAAGTATTTTTTAAAAGATGTAGTAGAAATTATTGAGATACATATATTCTTGAATTTATGCCACATTAAACTGGAATGTACACTGATCAGAGATAAATTCTAACATTTTTCTTTCAGGAAATAGGTTCCTTAATTTCCCTTCACTACAAAGTTAGGGGAGGAGCCTTTCATTACATGTCAGTCACACTGCAGTGTGTCAAAGCCCTTCTGCTCGGTGTCGGCTCTGTCTCCATGGACTCATGTCAATAAGTGTGTTGCGCCTTCAGGACTAATTGTACATTCACCAACCTCAGTCCTTCAAAGCAGAGCAGACTAGCACTGACTTAAGATTATGCTGGTTGAAATAAAAACATGTTAATTCATGTCTAAGCTTTTCTATCAGAAGTGAATGCACTTACTCCGTGAGGCCTCTGCCCTGTCAGAGGCCTTGCTGAAGCGGAAGGACGTTCTTAGGGGCACATGGCCATCTTCTTGCTTTCCAGCCCACGGCCGCCCATCCCACTGTCCCTGCTGCTGACAGAAGAGGAGGCGGCGCTGAGCATCCAGTCCTTCTGGAGAGCCTACGTGGTGAGTCCTGGCCGCAGTGGCGTGCGGGTGCTAGGCTTTTCTGGTGTGAGAGCCCCTGGGGAAGAGACGGATTGGAAACAGGATATTACAGTTGACACCCGGACTTCAGAAATAGGGTTCTCTGTAAATACTTCTCACGAGTTTAGAACTTTTACCAAAATTTATTTAGCAATTATCATTAAAAATACCCTCCAATCTTTTAAAATTGGGTTGACTGGCCAGTGTTACCTAACAAATAATATAACAGCCCTGGCCAGGTGGCTCAGTTGTTTGGAACATTGTCCCTTATGCCAAAAGATTGTGGGCTCAATTCCCGGTCTGGGCACACACATATCTAGGTTGCAGGCTTATTCCTGGGCCAGGTGCAACTGATCAATTTTGCTCTCTCACTTCAATGTTTCTCATCCTTTCTTTTTAAAATCAATTTTAAAAATCAATAAAAACAAATCCTCAGGTGAGGATTAAAATATATATATATATTAATAAAAGTATAATATGCTAATTAGACCAGACGACCTTCTGGATGAAACTGGGTCCTGGGTGCCTGATGGCGGCTGGAGGGAAGCCCGGGTTCCGGGTGCCAGAGGGAAGCCAGTCCCGGCAGCCAGAGGAAGGATGCACAAATTTTGTGATTCCAGTCTCTAGTGTTACGTACAGACAGACAGCAATACATGTTCGTTTTAGAAAAGAAAATTCAAAAATCCAGATATTCATATAAAGCAAATAAAAAAGTCACAGGTAACTCTCTCACCAAAAGATTATCATTGTTGCTCAAGTTTGGCTCAGTGGATAGAGCATCGGCCTACAGTTGAAGGGTCTCGGGTTCGATTCCAGCTAAGTGCACATGCTCAGGTTGCGGGCTCAATCCCTAATAGGGAGTATGCAGGAAGCAGCCGATCCATGATCCTCTCTCATCATTGATGTTTCTCTCTCTCCCTTTCCCTTCCTCTCTGAAATCAATAAAAATATTTTTTAAAATATTACCATTGTTCACATTTTTGTGTAAACATTTCCAAATCTTAATACATAGAATAATGTAAATACCTAACATACAGAAATTAACCTTTTCTTTTAAAACTCATCTTCCTAACCACTTTTCTATTAGTTTCCAGTTTATCATTATTATAGTATACTAGAGGCCTGGTGCACGAAATTCATGCACTGGGTAGGGGATGGTATCCCTCAGCCCAGCCTGCACCCTCTCCAATCTGGAACCCCTCAGGGGATGTGTGACTGCCAGACAGGGATCAGGCCTAACCCAGCAGTCAGACATCCCTCTCACAATCTGGGACTGCTGGCTCCCAACTGCTCTGGAGCTGTGGAGGGCTGGGCCAGCAGGACACTCAGGTGCGCCACCTGCTGAGGGAGGTGCTCCCAATGAGCAGGGCCCCAGCCAGACCCCCTCCGGCCTCTTCCTCTCCCACCCGCCGCAGCTCCATTCTGGGGCCTCAGAGGAGTTGTTGGAATAGAGCAGCTCTCTCTGCTGCCGGCACACGCCTGGCCTCTGTGTGAAGAGCCTGTGCAGAGGTGACCAGAGGCAGCCGAGCTTCGAGGCAGGAGGGCGGAGCTGAGGACGGGGCTGGAGCACCTGGATCCAGCCGGACCAGGAGACCTCTCATAGGGATTCTGCCACAGTCTGGAGCCCTAGCAATCACAATGACAACATAGACATTTCCAGCTCTCGATCACTTGTGCATGAAGGAGATTATAGGTACAAAATAAAACTCTGGGTCCACCATGCAGAGCTGCCACTGAGGTGTGCTAGGAGAGACTGGCCAGGCTGGCAGGAAGCGGAGCAGGAGGGAAGCTCACCCACGGAGCAGGGTCCTCTACAACATAATTTGAATTATTTAAGTAGTACATTGCCATGTGGAGAAAGCAGATGATCCATAAAAGAATCTTTCCTGTTCATGGAGGAATTTTTTTACACTATTGATGGCATTGACACTGCTCTGTGCCTGCCTCTGCCTTAGTGATGTGTTGGGAGTATCTGCTCAGCACACAGAGATCTGGCTCAGCAGTTCAAAGGCTCTCTGAGAACCTTTCTGTGCCTAAATCCAACCATGACTTAGTTATCCCAGTTGGTTGGACATTCTAGTTTTCTCTCCCATGTAAAATATATTATGAAAAAATCCTTCTTCGTGTATCTTTGTGCACTTATCTGATTTTCTGTGTAAGATTGATTGCTAGAAGCTCCAAGAGTAAGCACCCTTTTTCAGAGTTTCATCATTATTGCTGAATTATCTTCTGGAGAGGAGGGACTCTAGCTTAGACCTGTTTGTAGGTACCAACAGTGCACGCAGGTGTGCCCTAAGCATAGGTTTTGATGGCAGAGTGGGGAGAGGAAGAGATTGTGAGTGTGAAGTGTGCTGGGGAAGGCGGTGTGTGACATTGCTTAGGGACATGCGCAGGCAGCACTGTTGTGCCCAGGTGTGTGGGGTGTGTGCTGCGGACCTCAGAGGCTCTGAGGAGCCGGGAAGTAGGTTGAATGGCCACTAGATACACACTTCATTTTTTTAAATTGAACTTTTGGGGTGGCATTGCTATTGGAATTGTATAGGTTCCAGGTGTATGATTTTTATAGCACATTGCATTGTGTGCCCACCACCCAAAGCCGGATCTTCTTCCATCACCATGCTGGATCCCCATAACCCTTTACCCTCCCCCGCCCCAACCACCACGGTTGTCTGTGTCTGTGAAGTCTTGATGTTTGTTTTTCCTGTTTGTTCGTCAGCACGCACAACCCTGTCAAGTCTCCTCGAGTCACCTTTATTGCACTTTCACGCTCTTCTGCCCTAACCCACCTCCCCTCTGGCCATCACCACCTCATGTCTGTGATGGGTTTTGTTTTGTTTATTTTTTGCTTAATCCCTTCACCTTTTTTCACCCAGCTCCCACCCCTCCTTCTGACAGCTGTCCTTCTCTTTTCTGTGTCTATGCATATGTTGCTATTTTGTTAGTTTATTTCGTTTATTAGATTCCACGTATAAAAGAGAAATCACATGGTACTTGTCTTTCTCTGATTGGCTTATGTCATGTAGCCAGGTCCATCCATGATGCAAAAGGCCAGATAGTATACCATTGTGTAAATGTTCCACAACTTTTTTATTCACTCATCTACAGGTGGGCACTTAGGACATTCTTGTAGCAATCATTTTTTCTGATATGTCTTCTCAGGCAAGGGAAGCAAAAGAAAAATAAACAAAGGGGGCTACATCAAACTAGAAGGTTTCTGCACAACAAAGGAAGCCACCAGCAAGAGGAAAAGGGAGCCCTCTGCATGGGACAATATATTCCCCAATGACACATCTGATAAGGGGTTAATATCCAAAATTTATAAAAACTTATACAACTGAACACCAGGAAAACAAACCAATTTAAAAATGAGCAAAGGACCTGAATAGACACTCTCCCAACAGACATAAGAATGGTAATCATCACTAATCTTCAGACAAATGCAAATTAAATTGACAATGAAGTATCACCTCACACCTGTCAGAATGGCTACCATCAAGTCAACAAACAACAAGTGCTGGCGAGGTTGTGGAGAAAAAGGAACCCTCGTGCACTGCTGGTGGGAATGCAGACTGGTGCAGCCACCGTGGGAAACAGTATGGAGTTTCCTCAAAAAACTGAAAATGGAACTGCCATTTGACCCAGTGATCCCACTTCTAGGAATATATCCTAAGAAACTAGAAACACCGATCAGAAAGGATATATGCAGCCCTATGTTCATAGCAGCACAATTCACCATAGCTAAGACCTGGAAACAGCATATTTATTTTTTGTGAGCCTCCCTGCCACGCAGCGGCAGACCCACAGGGCGGGAGCCCTCCTTACTGGTGGGAGCTGGCGAGACAGCGAGGACTGAGCTAGGAGACAGTTTAGAAACACTAGGTTTTGATTCAGAATCTGAGAGTTTTCTTTCTGAAACCATACTACATCTTTTAAATAAAATGTATTGAATATTGTTCAATAATTCAATAATGCAGTCATTATAAAATAAATATTGGGCCTTCTGTGGAAATAGAAAAACCCATCCTAAAATTCACTTGGAATCTCAAAGAATCCCAAATGGCCAAAACAATCTTGGAAAAGGAACAAAACTGGAGAACTCATTCTCCCTGATTTCAAACTTATTCCAAAGCTACAATCACCAAAACAGTGTGGTAGTGGCAGAAAGACAGACATTCGGATCAGCAGAATAGAACTGAAAGCCCAGAAATAAACTCTCGCACATATGGTCAAATGGTGCCAAGACCATTCAGTGGGAACACTTAGTCTTTTCAATAAGTGTTGCTGGGAAAACTGGATGTCCACATGCCAAAGAATGAGCTGGGTCTTTATTTAAAACTATGTACAAAAATGAACTAAAAAATGGGTCAAGAACCTAAATTTAAGACCAAAACAGTAAAATGCTTAGAAGAAAACATGGGACAAAGTTCATGGCTCTGGATTTGGCAGTGATTTTTGTATATGAACCGAAGGCACAGGTAACAACAACAACAACAACAAATGGGCAAGTTGGACTTTATGAAAACATAAAAACTTTGTCTATCATAATATACTACCCACCATTGCATGAGGTCTCCGGGCTTATGCATCCTGCAGCATCTCAAAACTGCTCTTCTTTTTAAGGCTGGATTAATATCCAGAATATACAGAGAACTCCCAAAATGCAACGACAAAGAAAATCTGTTTATAAAATAAGCAAAGGACTTGAAAATACATTTATTCCAAGAAAATATATGAATGGCTGATAAGTACATGAAAGGATTTTCAGCATCATCCAAGCATTAGGAAAGGTCATGGAGATGAAAAACCACCTCACATCCATGTAAAACAAAAAGCTGCAAATGCTGATAGGACTCAGGGACATTGGAAAGCTCATGCACATGTATTTGGTAAGGCTACTACGGAAGACAGTATGGAGGGTCCACGAAATTAAAATAGGACAGGACCCGGTGACTCTACTTCTGGGTATGCACACACAATAATTA